AATGTTGAGAATTGGTTTATTTATTTATTTATGAGACTTATATACCGCTTTAAGTACAAGCACTCTCTAAGCGGTGTACACCAGTAAGCAATGTATATATATATATATTTACATTGCCCCCAACAATCTGGGTCCTCATTTTACCTACCCCGAAAAGATGGAAGGCTGAGTCAACCTTGAGCTGGTGAGATTTGAACCGCTGACCTGCTGAACACAGTCAGCTAAAGTGGCCTGCAGTACTGCACTCTAACTGCTGCGCCACCTCGGCTGGTTAAAATAAAGTGGGACAGAAACAGAAATGTTAACATCACAGAAGTTTATTAATATTGAATTTGGGGCCAGTCACTCTCAGGTACAATGGCTTGGACAAAATCCCAACTGATTTTGGATTATACTGGAAGTTTTTAAGACGAGAACTGGACAGCCATTTGTCTGAAATGGTATAGGGTTTCCTGCCTGAGCAGGGGGTTGGACTTGATGACCTCCAAGGTCCCTTCCAGCAAAGAAAGGCTGGATGGCTTCGGTCTGAAATGGGGCTGTGGATCAAGCAGGCGGCAGGATTCGAGAAACTTTGTGGTCCAAAGTCTCTTGATTCTATGAAATCAAATGAGAAAAATATATTCCCAAGCATGCTTTACAGTTGCTATATATGGGGCAGATGGAAGGCACACCTATGTTTGCAATAGTGGTGAATAGTGGTGCACATCTATGTACGCACAGAGACACACCCACCCACCAACAAGGGATCCCAAGTAGGCAGTCCTCAACTTACAAGTAGTTGTTTAGCAACCGAAGTTACAACGGACTTGCTTGGTGGTGCTTATGACCCAGTTCCGATGTTTCAACAGCTGCCCCATCCCAGTCCGTGGTCTCTCTCTCTCTCTCTCTCTCTCTCTCTCTCTCTCTCTCTCTCTCTCTCTCTCTCTCTCTCTCTCACATACACACACACTGCCTCCAGAAATCGTGGGTGCTCCATCACTGGAGATTTTTATGAAGAGACTGGACAATCACTTGTCTGAGATGGTGTAGGTTCTCCTGCTTAAGCAGGGAGCTGGACTAGAAGACCTCCAAGGCCCCTTCCAACTCTGTTATTCTGTTCTGTTCTGCTCTGCTCTGCTCTGCATTCCATTCCATTCCATATCCCATCCTATTATTCTATTCTATTCTATTCTATTCTATTCTATTCTACTCCATCCCATCCCATCTCATCCCATCCCTTCCCGTCCCATCCCATCCCATCCCATCCCATCCCATCCCATCCCATCCCATCCCATCCCATCCCATCCCATCCCATTCCATTCCATTCCATTCTATTCTATTCTATTCTATTCTATTCTATTCTATTCTATTCTATTCTATTCCATTCCATTCCATCCCATCCTATTATTCTATTCCATTCCATTCCATTCCATTCCACTCCACTCCACTCCACTGCACTGCACTGCACTGCACTCCACTCCACTCCACTCCACTCCACTCTACTCTATTCTATTCTATTCTATTCTATTCTATTCTATTCCATATTCTATTCTATTCCATTCCATTCCATATTCCATTCCATCCCATTCCATCCCATCCCATCCTATTCCATTCCACTCCACTCCACTCCATTCTATTCTATTCCATTCCATTCCATTCCTCTGTTATTCTGTTATTTTCTTCCTTGTAAAGGGAACTCCTGGTTGTGCTTTCTGTCTGGACTACTTTGCAGGGGGAACGGATCCATTGACCCTTATGTACAACAGAGAACTTATAATAATAGAGTTGGAAGGGTCTTCTTGGAGGTCTTCTAGTCCAACTCCCAACTCAACCAGAAGACCCTTTATCACTTCAGACAAAGGGTTGTCCTGTCTCTTCTTGAAAGCCTCCAGTGATGGAGCACCCACAACTTCTGAAGGCAGAGCTGTTCCACTGGTTAACTGTTCTCACCGTCAGGCAAGTGGCTGTCCAGTTTCTTCTTAAAAACTTCCAGTGTTGGAGCATTCATCGCTTCTGGAGGCAAGTTGTTCCACTGATTTATTGTTCTTCTAACTGTCAGGAAAGTTCTAGGTTGCTTCTCTCCTTGATAAAGCAGGACTAGAACTCATAGTCTCCTGGGGATTGGTCCTAAGTCGCCCAGCCAGCTTTCATGCCCAAGATGGGACTAGAACTCACCGTCTCCTGATGATTGACCCCAAAATTGCCCAGCTTCCTAAGTCAGGACTAGAACTCACAGTCTCCCGGTTTTATGCTTGGTGCCTTCACCATTACACCAAACTTTCTCTCTAGAAAAGATGTTGGGGAGCTAGAAAAGATGCTAACAGAGTCTGTCCAAGAGATTTGAGGGCTAATGCAGTGGACACATGAAAATGTTGCTGCGGTGATCATGGCAGATTTTTAGATTTTAAAGAGGGTTTCTACAAGTTCTTGAAGAATCAACTAACTAATATTTATGACCGTCAGAATCTTAGGCAAAAGAAGTCCAGTACATGGAGACAAGGAACAGTGAATGGGACGACCTCTAGTCTAACACATTATCTTTCCACCTTAAATTTTGAAAACTAGTGTCACGTATTCAAGAATTACACACACTTCTTTTTCTTTTACACACCTCCTCCCCACAACTGATCTGCACAATCCTTCCACAGAAGTTCATCAAAAAGGGCACTGCTCTCTTTGCAAAGTTGGCCCCCCACAAATGAGAAAGCAATGGCCCCTTACAAAAATTAAAATAAATCAACAGTCAAAATATAACGTCTTGAAGGCCTCTGCACCGATTTCTCTTAACGTGTTAAACTTTTGGCTTACAGGCTCATTGGATCCCATTCTGCTGAAAAATAACAACAAAATAATGCCAGACGTTTGTGGTTTTCTCTGCTATCTATTTTGTTTTTCAAAATCGTGTTCCAAGTAGAAAGCAGAAACATTACTGCTGCAGAAATATAGTACCACTAATACATCTGACGCTCCTGAATAAGTTGTCCAGTTTGAATCAGCCATCTGTTTATAGTAATAGCACTTAAGACTTATATACTGCCCCACAGGGCTTTGCAACATTCTTTGCTTTGTTTGCAATGTCAGCATATTGCCCCAAACAATTTGGGTTCTCATTTTACCAACCTCAGATGGAAGGATGATTCAGCTTTGAGCTGGTCAGGAACGAACTGCTGGCAGTTGGCAGAATTAGTCTGCAATGCTAATTCTAACTACTGTGCCACCAGATATAGAATAGTTGATGATGGATGGATGGATGGATGGACGGATGGATGGACGGACGGACAGACAGATGATAGAGAGGGAGGGAGGACAGAGCAATAGCAAGAGCGCTTAGACTTATATACCGCTTCACAGTGCTTGACAACACTAAGCAGTTAACAGAGTCAGTATATTGCCCCCAACAACCTGGGTTCTCATTTTACCAATCTCGGAAGGATGGAAGGCCAAGTCAACCTTGAGCCAGTCAGGATCGAACTGCTGGCAGTTGGCAGAATTAACCTGCAATACTGCATTCTAACCACTGCACCACCAGATATAGAATGGGTGACGATAGATAAATAGATAATAAATCAGTGGATAGATAATAGAGAAGTAGAAAGATAATAGATGATAGATAGATAGATAGATAGATAGATAGATAGATAGATAGATAGAGTAGAACAATAGCAAGAGCACTTATATATCACTTCACAGTGCTTTACAGCCCTCTGAGCAGTTTACAGAGTCAGCATATTATTTTACTGACCTTGAAGGATGGACAACTAAATCAACCTTGAGCTGGACAGGATCAAACTTCAGGCTGTGGGCAGAGTTAACCTGCAATACTAATATGCATACAATATCACTTTACAATGCAACCTTTTGGGTGTTTATGACCTTTAAGGATGAAAATTGGAGGAGCTTTATTCATACACACAACGGGACAAAAGAAATAAATAAGAACTCAGTCCCAGTTACTCAAGACACTTCCCAAGTCTTATTTTCATGCTATTTATTCATTGAGCAATTTTGTTCTCATCCACCAGGGGGCAGAAGAAGACCAAGATTAATAACATCACACCTGTTAAGTTGGAAGTCTTGCCTTCTGCCTGTTCTGGTTACATACATTTTAGGCACTGGACAAAGCAAAATGACCTGAAAATAATTGAAAGCAAGGCAAAATCCACCAGGAATGCTGAAATGTCAAGGCAGCCCTTGACTTACGACTATTCATTTAGTGACCAGTTCAAAGTTACGATGGAGTGACTTAGGACCGTTGCAGCCTCCCCGTGGTCAAAATTCAGGTGCTGGGCAACTGACTCCTATTTATGACTCCTATTTATCACCTATCACTCCTATGTGATCCCCTTTTGCGACTGTCTGACAAGCAAAGTCAACGGGGAAGCCAGATTCCTTTAACAACCGTGTGGTTCACTTAGTAACATCAGTGATTCCCGTGGTGAGAAAAGTCATCCAATGGGACAAAACTCACTTTAACAACGGTCTCACTTAGCAACAGAAATGTTGAGCTCAATCGTGGTCGTACGTCGAGGACTACCTGTACAGAGAATGATATACAATCAGACTCCTCCTTTCAGCATTAAATGCAATGCAGGCGAAGCTGTAGATTGATCTTTCTGGATCCCGAAGCCCAAAGAGGTGTGTCTAAACCAGGGGTAGGCAATCTTGGCTCTTTTATGGCTCCTGGACTTCAACTCCCAGAATTCCTGAGCCAACATGGGGGAACTATGGCCCCTTCATGACTTGTAGACTTCAACTCCCAGAATTCCTGAGCCAACATGGCGGAACTATGGCCCCCTCATGACTCATGGACTTCAACTCCTAAAATTCCTGAGCCAGCATGGCTCAGCTTGGAACCCTCTCCCTTTCCCCTCAGCATGGTTGGCTCAGGAATTCTGGGAGTTGAAGTCCACGAGTCATAAAAGAGCCAAGGTTGCCTACCTCTGGCCTAGGCCTAGGTCGCTTTATGACTCGTGGACTTCAACTCCCAGAATTCCTGAGCCAGCATGGCTCAGCTTGGAAATCTCTCCCTTTCCCCTCAGCATGGCTGGCTCAGGAATTCTGGGAGTTGAAGTCCACGGGTCATAAAAGAGCCACGGTTGCCTACCCCTGGTCTAAACCTAACATTGGGTCAGGAATCTGGGGTTTTGCCTCAAGCCGCTCTGCATTCTAACATCTTCCTGAAACTTTTCTGAAAGCTGTCATCCAGGAAGGCGTACAAGAAAGGATTCAAGCAAGAGTTGGCATAGCTCAGGCTGGTGATGAAATAGGAGATGCCGATGACCGCCGGGGTCTGGGGCAAGTCCGTGGTCAAAGCCACAATGGTGGCCAGGTGGAAGGGCGTCCAGCAGAAGAGGCAGACCGCCAAAACGACAAAGACCATGACGGTGACTTTCTTTTTAGCTTTGTCCAAAGCTTTGGCATTGGAGTTTAAGCTCATGTGCCTCAGATTGTACAGCATCATGGTGTAAAGGACACAGATGGTGGAGACTGGAATGGCAAAGCCCAAGAAGAGGGTATAGATCCGGCTGGCTTTGAACCAGGATCTTTCTGGTTTGGGGAAATTGAGTCCACAGCTGGTGATGTTCAAGTCGTCCTTGTAGACGTTGGCAAAGATGAAGAAAGGGAACACAATAAGGGTGACCAGGATCCAAACGCCGAAGCTGATGATACGGGCCGCCCGGTAAGTGCGGTGTGGCATCCTCTTGGACCGGACAGTCGATAGCACAACCAGGTACCGGTCAATGCTCATCACGGTGAGGAAATAAATGCTAGAGAAGATGTTGTAATGGTCAACGGAGAGGATGATCTTGCAAAGGACCGCTCCGAAGGGCCAATAGTGCAACAGATGTTCGGCAATGTTGATGGGCAAGACCAGGGTGAAGAGGTCATCGGCAATGGCTAAGTTCAGGATGAACATGTTGGTGACCGTCTTCATTTTGGGAGCCTTCAGGATCACGTAGATGACCGCTGTGTTGCCGGTTAGACCCACCGCACAGATCACCGAGTAGATCACCGGGAGGACCACGTAGAAGTCTGGAGACTGAAATTCTTGGGACGTCAAGTTGACCTTGGTAGCGTTCTCACGGACGCAGGCTTGGTCGAGTCCAAGGCTGGTGGCGTCGGTGCTCAGCTCTCTGCTCTCCCAAGTATTGTTAGCCATGTCTCGACCTTCCACTAACAAGGTCACCCTTCAAATGACATGACCGGTGAGGAAAGACTCAGCCATTTTCCAGAAAGGGCTATTATATATATATAAAAAGTCCTTCTTCAACTTTGCTGGCCAGTTCAAGTGACAGCAAGGCAGATGACTGGAGCCAAGCAGGAGAAGGGATTGCGGTTGCTAGGGTTACAAACACAAGAGTTGCTTGAGGATTAAACAGAGTTCCGGTTTGGAAAGACAAATTGGTTAACTCCCTTAAGCAACTGTCTGCTGCCTCAATCCCCCCCCCCCACAGCCCCCTTTCTGCATCAGAAATTTAAAAAAAAGAAATCTACAAGAAAGCATTTCCCCACCCCTAACCCAATTGGGTCCTACCAAAAACAAACACCACCACCAACAATAAATAAAACCAACCCAAAACAACTTTGTATTCCGGTCGAGAACAGAACCCACTCTGGAGCGAAACACAACCGTTTCCTAAAACCCTGGGGGGGGGGGAGAGAAAAGGAAGAGAGGGGGGGGGGAAATACAAACCCTGTTTAAACAGCTTGGACCCCCCCCAAATTGAAAGCGTTTGCAATCTACCATAACCCTTCCCGGTAGCATCGGAAAGCGAAGGATTGTGATGAACACAATGTCAAAGCAAAAAATAGAGAGAGACAGAGAGAGGGGGGGAGAGGGGAGAGAGAGAAAGAGGGAGGGAAGGAGAGAAGGGGAGAGAGAAGGAGAGGGGAGAGGGAAGAGAGAGAGAAAGAGAGAGAAAGAAAGAGAAAGAGGGAGGGAGGGAGAGAGAAAGAGATAAAGAGGGAGGGAGAGAGAGGGGGAGAGGGGGAGAGAGAGAGGGAAGAGAGAGAAAGAGAAAGAGGGAGGGAGAGAGAAAAAGAAAGAGGGAGGGAGAGAGAGAGAAAGAAAGAGGGAGGGAGAGAGGGGACAGGGAGAGAGAGAAAGAGAGGGAGAAAGAGAAAGAGAGAAAGAGGGAGGGAGAGAAAGAAAGGGAGGGAGAGAGAGAGAAAGAGAGAGAAGAAGGGAGGGAGGGAGGGAGGGAGGGAGAGAAAGAAAAAGAGAGAAGAGGGAAGGAGGGAGAGAAAGAGACAGAGAAAGAGGGAGGGAGGGAGAGAGGGGGGAGAGGGGACAGGGAGAGAGAAAAAGAAAGAGGGAGAGAGAGAGAAAGAAAGAGGGAGGGGGGGAGAGGGGAGAGAGAAAGAGGGAGAGAAAGAGAGAAAGAGGGAGGGAGGGAGAGAAAGAGAGAAAGAAAGAGAGAAAGAGGGAGGGAGGGAGGGAGAGAAAGAAAGAGGGAGGAAGGGGGAGAGAGGCGACAGGGAGAGAGAGAGAGAGAGGGGAGAGAGAGAGAAAGAAGGAGGGAGAGAGAGAAAGAAAGAGAGAAAGAGGGAGAGAGAAAGAGAGAGGGAGAGAGAGAGGGGAGAGAGAGAGAAAGAAGGAGGGAGAGAGAGAAAGAAAGAGAGAAAGAGAGAGAGAGAAAGAGAGAGGGAGAGAGAGAAAGAGGGAGAGAGAAAGAGGGAAGGAGAGAGACTTTAAATTCCCACTTCCCCCCAAAACACCTGTCTGCCTTACCTATTGCGGAGTTTCCCCGGCGCTTCTTCCCAGCTGAGCAAAATTCCTCAACGGGGCAACGAGGAGGAGGAGGAGGGCAGATCAAGCCTTCCTCCCCTCCCGCCCCGCCCCCCCCCCCGCCAAGTCCCTTGCACCCCAGCAAAAGAGACCCTCCAAGCGAGAGGAGCGGCGCAGCGGCGCCTTCACCCCTCCTTCCAGAGCTGCAGAACCCAAAGCGTGTCCGGATCGGCTGCTGCCCTCCGATCGGCTGTGTGAACGGTGTCTCTCCTGCTGCTGCTGCTGCTGCGCGCCTCTCTTACCGTACTTATCCCATCCAGCCGGGCCGCTTTCGTTTCGGCCTCCCACCTCTTTGTGCCTGCTATCCTGCGCAGCGCAGCTTCCTCCGTGGGAAACAAACAAACAAACAAACAAACCTAGTTAGGGATGCGCTGACCATGCGCATCCCTAACTAGGAGGTGCCCGGGTGGTGCAGGAGATACGATCCAAATGAACTTCGGGTCTTCCTGGAAAAGAAGGATTTCTATCCTCAAGGTTACTTAGGGAACAAGTCAAGAGATTCCCCCCCCCCCGTCCTTTCCTCCTTTACCACTTTATTGAAGCAAAAGGAAACTTTTGGGCTGAGTTTCACAGGATCAAGTCCGGATAGTCCTCACCTTATGGCCACGATTGAGCCCAGGATTTCCGTGGCCGAGGGAGACATTGGTTAAGTGAGTTTTACCCCCCTTTTATGACCCTCCTTCCTGGGGTGGTTAAGTGACTCACTGCAATTGTTAAGTTAGTAACCTAGTTGTTAAGTGAACGTATAGGTTGGAACTAGACGGTGTCATATATGTGTGAGTGTGTGTGGGCGGGTATATGCATAATGGTATTTTTTTTGAGAGCTGAATACAATGGAATTTCATTTTGATGTATGCTGCTTAGTGTACATTTAAGGTGACAAAGATTCTATTCTATTCTATATTCTATATTCTATATTCTATATTCTATATTCCATATTCCATATTCTATTCTATTCTATTCTATTCTATTCTATTCTATTCTATTCTATTCCATTCCATTCCATTCCATATTATTCCATTCCATATTCTATTCTATTCTATTCTATTCTATTCTATTCTATTCTAGTCTAGTCTAGTCTAGTCTAGTCTAGTCTAGTCTATAGTCTAGTCTAGTCTAGTCTAGTCTAGTCTAGTCTAGTCTAGTCCAGTCCAGTCCAATCCAGTCCATCTTCCCTGTTGACTTTGCTTGTCACCAAAGGGATGTACCAGAACCCTGGGACACTGCAACGGTCATAAATATGAGTCTGTTGTCCAGCGTCTGAATCTTGATCACATGACCTTGAGGATGCTGCAAGGGTCGCAAGTGTGAAAAATGGTCCTAAGTCACTTTTTCCAGTGCCGTCGTAACTTCGAGTGGTCACTAAATCAACTGTTGTAAGTCGAGGACTGCCTGCACCGCTTTCTACTGCGCTGGTGAGGCCACACTTGGAATACTGGGTCCAGCTTTGGATGCCACGATGCAAAAAAGATGCAGAGACCCTAGAAAGGGTGCAGGGAAGAGCAACGAAGAAGGTAAGAGGTGTGGAGGCTAAATCAGAAGGCGAAGGGCCAAGGGAACTAGGCAGGTTTAGCCTAACAAAGAGATGAATTGGGGCAGGGGTTCCCAACCCTCAGTCTGTGAACCGGCACCAGGCCACAGCATGCCAGCAACTGGTTCACGCAAACAAGCAAAGCCCCATCTGCAGGATGCAGGCAGCACACAAAACCACGCACCCTCCGGTCGATGGAAAAACCTCTCTCCACGGAACCGGTCCCTGGTGCTCAAAAGGTTGGGGACCTCTGAATTAGGGGGGACATGATAAGTGTCTCCAGTTCTTGAGGGGCTTTGACAGAGAAGGTTGCCTTATTCTCCATTGCATCAGAGGGCAGGACAAGAAGCAGTGGATGGAAGCTTGTCAAAGGAAGATCTAACCTGGAAATGGACAATGAGAACAATTAATCATTGGCATAGCTCAGTGTTTCCCACACTTGACAATTTTAAGGCATGTGGACTTCAACTCCCAGAATTCCACAGCCAGCATTGCTGGCTGTGGAATTCTGGGAGTTGAAGTCCACATGCCTTAAAATTGTCAAGTTTGGGAAACATTGGCATAGCTTGTGGGTGCTCCATCGCTAGAGGTCTTCAAGGGGAAAAAAATGCACCACCATTTGGGATGGTCAAGGGCAGGGCTCTCCAAATTTGGCAACTTCAAGACTTGTGGACTTGTGGACATGCTGGCTGGGGAATTCTGGGAGTTGAAGTCCTTAAATCTGCCAAATTTGTAGACACCCGGTATAAGGTCTCCTGCCTTGGACAGGGGGTTGGTCCAGATCAGGGCTTTTCAACCTTTTCACCCATTGTGCCACTTTTAGGATACGGCAACATCCTAGCAAGGGGTCAAAAACTTGATGACCAAAAAAAAAAAAAAAAAAGGAAAAAAGTGATGAAGTACAGGTAGTCCTCAACTTACAACAGTTCACTTAGTGACTGTTTGGAGTTACAATGGCACTGAAAAAAGTGCCCCCCAAGCCACAGCCGAGCAAGACACCTACCTGCCCGCCCGGCGGCCCTCTTCCTCCTGTCTAGGTTTTCATTGTTGTGAGCATTTCTGTTGAGGATTGGCAGTGGGGGTGGGGTGGGAGGTGTTTGGTTTTTATTTCCCCCCCGGCTGCTGGATGGTTGCAGCAGGTTTTGGTCACTTCACATGACCAGGGACACTGTGACCGTCATAAATAGGAATCAGTTGCCAAGCATCTGAATGTAAATCACAAGACCCTGGAGATGCTGCAACATTCCAGCTGATTGGTGCTTCTTCTGGGCTCAGCAGAAGTGCCAGGATCAGTGCCGAGTTCCAGCTGGAGCCTGGTGCTGATCCTGGAGCTTCCGCTGAGCCCTGATAGCCCCGAAGAAGCACCGATCAGCTGGAAAGCAGCACTGATCCTGGTGCTTCCGCTGAGCCCTGACAGCCCTGCAGCTCCAGCCGTCTCTCGCTCAGGCTTGTGCGGTGCTGCCACCGGTTCAGCTCATTCCCCTCCCCCGCTACCCCTTTTCTAGGATGGTCGCGTAACATCTGCCAGGTGCCAATGTACCACAGGTGGTACCCGTACCACTGGTTGAAAAGCCCTGGACTAGAAGACCTCCAAGATCCCGTCCCTCTGTATGATGCTATGGTTTGCACAACCCAGAGTTGATAAAACAGAGCTGAAACAAAACTTGGGACAGTTCCTGCCCCCTCTTTTAAAAAGTTGGGCCTTGTTTTGTGGTCATCTTCAGTCCCATTAAAGAATAAACCAATGTGAAGAACAAAGAATTCAGTTTTAATGGGTATCATTTGAAAATTAAAGTCCCAGACAAGGAAAGGCACGTAGCCAACATGTTTTTTTGTTTGTAAATCTGCACTCAACATAGCCAACATATTTGGTGCCTGCCAATTTGTTTGATTGGTTTGTTGTTCTGTCCAACCCACCAATAATGACTGCATATGGATCACTTTGCAAGATCTTTTTCCATAATGTACTCATTTGAGTCACTAGAGCTGTATTTTTTTTTAATCTTTTCTCTACGTTCTGTAGTCTCTGCTTTCAGCTCTACAGAAGCACTCTTTTTTTTCAGTTGTTATTATAAGAAAACACGAGTAGTGCCGTTTCAGTAACAGGTTGTTAAAATTTAATGGGACCGATTGTTAACATTTAATTATAGGAATCAAACGTCTCTTGAAAATGTATATTTGGGTGTTCTCCTCTTCCATTAGAGCCCAGAGCAGAGACTGTGAGATGGTGAATTCTAGTCCTGCCTTCAGCAGGAAAGGCAATTGGGTGACTTTGGGCCAATCGCCAGGTGATGGTGAGTTATTGTCCCACAGCAGAACATCCAGATTCAGCCATAGTTTCGTTCCATACAGCAGGGGTATCAAACTCAATTTCACTGAGGGCCGCATCAGCATTGCGGTTGCCCTTGTGGGGGGGGTGGGTGTGGCCAGAGTGGATGCAGCCTACTGGATGGGCGTGGATGGAGTGGGTGTGGCCTACTGGGTGGGCGTGGCCAGTTCTACATCATTCGTGTCAAGGGTGCCTGTGGGGGCCTGGGCAAGAGTGGGACAGATCTGAGGGTCTCTGGCAGAAGGGGGCAAGTGCCAAGGCATGGTCCACTGGGGCAAGTGCCAAGATGGCCACCACAAAACTGTACATTGGCTCCCGTCCGGCCTGGGCCAAGGCCAAGGCAGTGGGGGCCGTTCCCTCACTGTTTCCAGGATGGCTTCATGGGTCACATGAAACCACTTTGTGGGCTGCATCCGGCCCCCGGACCTTGTGTTTGACATGTCTGCCATACAGCATTAACCTTGTGAACTCTCAAGCTTCCTCCCTCCATTATATATCCAAGATGGACAGTATTTAATATGTATTTATTATGTACATGTAGGGGTGTGGGTCTATACATATGTTGTATATAGTATGTTTTAGTGTGTGTGTCATGTATGTGTTTCACTTTGAGAGCGGGCAACTAAATTTCATTTTTGATGTGTGCCGTTGTGCCCACAGTAAGAAAATGACAATAAAGGTTATCTTAGAATTGGGTATGTCTAGTTTAACGAAGAGAAGGACAAGGGGGGACATGATAGCAGTATTCCAATATCTCAGGGCTGCCATAAAGAAGAGGGAGTCAAGCTATTTTCCAAAGCACCTGAAGGCAGGACAAGAAGCAACAGGTGGAAACTAATCAAGGAGAGAAGCAACCTAGAACTAAGGAGAAACTTCCTGACAGTGAGAACAATTAATCAGTGGAACAGCCTGCCTCCAGAAGCAGTAAATGCTCCAACACTGGAGGTTTTTGGGAGGAGACTGGACAGCCCTTTGTCCGAAATGGTGTAGGGTTTCCTGCCTGAGCAGGGGGTTGGACTAGATGACCTCCAAGGTCCCTTCCAACTTTACTACTATTACTATTACTATTATCTTATCTTACTTTGGGCCAATCACTGGGAGATGGTGAGTTATAGTCCCACCTTAGGCCTGAAAAGCGTCTGGGTGACTTTGGGCCAATCACCGGGAGA